ATCAGTCAAGGGCAATCTTCCTCTCTTAAACGTCCAGCACCTGGTCTCCTCACTTCCCAGACTTTTATGACATTTATGACGTGCTGTTAAAAGAAGACGGGATGTGAAAGTGGTAAAGATGGCCCTGTCCAAATTTTATTACGATTTATTGTTGCCGTCAAATTCAAAACGACCTGATCTTTTTCTTAAAGTGGCAGACCTTCTCAGTTTAAACGTTTAATATTTGATATTGTGGACATTGGTTGCACACAAATGTTTTGCTTTGGCAGAAACGTAAATCCACGCAACTTATTCATATTCAATAAACCTGTGCATTTTGTGGTGATAACATGTGATTGAAACGATGAAGGAAGTGCAGCTCCTGGAATATTTTAATCACAATTTAGTCACTTTATTCCAACACTATTCAATAACTTATACAAATACTACTTGGTCAGTTAACTTCATGTTGTCTTCTATTACACAATGTTCAGGTCTAGAGTCTGGTTCAGATAAAAATTGAATGGATTTACAACAACTTCCATCTGCAGGGGGGCTGGGCCATAACCCAGAGGTGATAAGAGGCAGGGTACACCCGGACAGCTCGCCAGTCTATCACAGGGAGACAAACAACCATTTGCACTCACATCCACACTTATGGGTAATTTAGATTCACCAACTAACCTAACTCTAGTAACTGCATGACTTAACTGTGGGAGGAAACCAGAATACTCAGAGAAAACAGTGCAAACTAGCCAGATTGTGGATTTGAACCCACAACTCTTGTTGTGAAGCAACAGCACTAATCACCACGCCACCGAGCTGTCAGTCCAAAGTACAAAAGTAGGAAAGCTATGATTAAAGGCTTGATGCAGAATTGTCTGTACATCTTTGTCCTTGACAGGTTGAACCACAATAAATAGCAATAGCGTACACGTGGTGTGTGTGTAGTTGTCTTCCTCTTATAAGCCCAGTGGTTTTCCTGCAGTTTGAAATCTCGCGTAATCTTGTGAATTTTGTGAGCCAGGAAACTAACCACTCTTACTAGAGCAGGGGTCGGCAACCTGCGGCTCTTTAGTCCTTATACTGCGGCTCCGCGTGGTTTGGGAAAATAAATTAGAAGTATTGAGCTGAAGTGTATTTTATTTATTTCTTTTTTAACTCGTAGTTCTAAATTGGAAGATTATTGTGATTTTGAAATATAAAAATAAAATTATATTCTATTATTTTTTCATCGCTCAAAATAAGCGTCACACTCGTGGAAGCCGGTGTACGAAACGCCGAAACGGCGTGCATTTATCGAGACTTTCAGCCCAGGTAGGCCAGTTATGGATCTTCGGATCCACATTATGTCAGCAGCTCCACTGTGAACTATGTTAAAACAAACACGCCTCACAGACGACAGCTTACAGTAAAGATGAAGTGACTCGTACAGCCTGATCTGCAGACGCTGTGCGCAGAGATTCAGGAGCAGAAGTCTTATTGCAAACATATCACAGCAGACCCGACGATGTTTCCATGAACACACTTTACAGCTTCTCTTTATTGACCATTTTTCACACACGGTTGCTGTACGCACACAGCCGGCTGTAGCTTTGCAGCTCACAGCCCGACACACACCAACACAACAGCATAGACGTTAAGGCGGCGAGGCGTGATTGCAGGTGCCGCTCAGGTGCGTCCGCCTTTTCTGCAGCGGCACTGCAGACCACGCCACCCCACGCTGCAGACCACGCCCCGCCACACACATTAACCAGGTAAAATACATATTTAAACAGAATTTTGCAAATATTTATTTTTCATCTTTTAGCAACATAGAGCTTTTTTTTCAATTGGTAAATGGTAAATGGACTGGTTCTTATATAGCGCTTTTCTACTCTGTCCGAGCACTCAAAGCGCTTTATACAGCTAATTCATTCACCCAATCACACCCATTCACACAAGCACTTCTAAGTTTAAGTGCTGAGTATCTAACATTCGTACACATTCACACTCTGATGGATGCATCGGAGAGCAACATGGGGTTAGTATCTTGCCCAAGGATATTTGGCATGCAGACTGGAGCAGCCGGGGATCGAACCACCGACCTTTTTAAATTACAATTACTTTTTAAAAGTCAGGTCAAGGCTCCAAAAGCACAAAGGAGATATGAGGGCGGCTCACAACAGTTTTTGTTTGCTGGATCATTTTAGTTCAACTTTCCTTTGGTTATGTTTCTTTAAGAGTTCAAAATGTGCATTTTAGATGTCAAAAAGTATTTGTGGCTCCCAGAGTTTTCTTTTGCGTGGAAACCGGCTCCAAACGGCTCTTTGGTGTTAAAGGTTGTGACCCCTGAACTAGACTGCATCATGTCATCTCAACAAAAACTAATTACATTGCTGAATTTCATGCAGAGCCTACGTGATTTAATTATGTTCACCTTGTTCAAATTACAAGTTAGACTTTTGTAAATGTAACAACCACCCAAAGACAAAAGATGTCTTTGATTTAATTTGTTTGTGTCAAACTGAGGCCTATTGAGCAAACGCAACAATGCAAAGTGAACATTTATTGTAGTACATCTCTTCATCCAGAGGAGGGCAGCATGACTCTGTGTAACGAAGCAGTCCAGAGAAAGCAGAAAGCTGCCAGCTGTGGATCAGGCTCACAGACTCAGGCCAGTACCTGTATTTCCAATGTCAACAGTGATAATCCCTCATTTGCCATTTAAAACGATTTTGTTGGCCCAATAGGATTAAAAAGATTTCTTTTTTCTTAATCTTTTGTAACATTTGCTCTCAAGCACCAGAGTTTTGTTCTCAACACAGTTTATTGAGGAGGAGGAAAGAGAGCACAGGAAACTCCCGAGGAGAGTCAAA